CTTCCCACAGTGCCCTTAGACACCCTGGGAACCCCCATCACTCACCACAGTGCTGCCCAAACTCCCACAGTGCCTCCAGACCCCCTGGAAACCCTCTTCGCCCACCACAGTGCAGCCCAACCTTCCACAGTGCCCCCAGGCCCCCCTCATCCCCCTACCACAGTGCTGCTCAATCTCCAACAGTGCCCCAAGGCCCCCTGGGAACCCTCATCCCCCACCACAGTGCTGCCCAACCTCCCACAGCACCCCAGGCCCCTGAGAGCCCTCATCCCCCACCACAGTGCTTCCCAACCTCCCACAGCGCCCCCCAGGCCCCCTGATAGCCCTCATCCCCCACCACAGTGCTGCCACCCTCCCACAGCGCCCCCAGGCCCCCTGATAGCCCTCATCAATCACCACAGTGCTACCCAATCTCCCACAGTGAGCCCCAGGCCCCCTGACAACCCTCATCAATAACCACGGTGCTGCCCAACCTCCCACAGTGACCCCATGCACCGTGACAGCCATCATTAATCACAGTGCTGCTCAACCTTCCACAGTGACCCCCAGGCCACTAAGAGCCCTCATCCCGACCACAGTCTTCTAAACCTCCCACAGGGACCCCATACACCCTGCAAGCCCTCATCATTCACCACAGTGCTGCTCAACCTCCCCAGAGTGCCCCAAGGCCCCCTAAGAGCCCTCATCAACCACCACAGTGCTGCCCAACCTTCCATGGTGGCCCAAGCATCCTACAGTGTCCCCTACCTTACTTCAGAGCCTCAACCCCACACAGGGCTTCCAACAGTGTCCCACAAGCACCCTAGCCCCTAAAAAAATCTCATTCTCACATCCACCAATTCTACTGCAGTGATCTAAACCCCTCCACAACCCCCATCCACCACAGTGATCTAAACCCCTCCACAACCCCCATCCACCACAGTGATCTAAACCCCTCCACAACCCCCATCCACCACAGTGATACCAGCTCCACTTAGAGCCTTCAGAATTTCAATACATATTTTGTATTCCCATACTTTTGTGGGAGTATAAACTTTTTTTTTTTAAACTGTTGGGGCATGGAATATTTAGGAAGCATTTACCAAACCTTCATATTAAAAAAAAAACTGAGATCCCTGGTCTAGAACACACAGCTGCTGGATATGCTGCTGCAATAGAGAATTTATGTATGAATTTCCATCAATAAATGAAATCCACTTACCATGTTGGTCAGAGCGGAGAAAAAGCCTGTCTGGTTTTCCTCCTCTTTGTCCCTGTACTGCCTGAAAGGAGAAACACCAAATGGTTAATGCCAGCCATGTATATCTGCCAAATGGTTTTTCATTGAACAGGTATACCTGTAGTCAGGGCTGCTGTTAGAATCCACAAGAACCCCCCACCCCCCTCCTCCCCCCAAAAAAAAAACACAGTTTACGATGACTCAGTTATGAATGAACACAGTGAATGATCGGTACCAATCACTTATTGTGTTCGTTCAGGAAAGGAAGGGGCTAGTAAATGTGACATATTTACCTGACCCTTCCCCGCTCGCCACTCTGAAGGATTCTATTGTGTCTCCCCGGGGAGACCATATATAGTGAATGCGGGGTCCGGGGAGAGCGGATATAGTGAATGCAGGGTCCGGGGAGAGCGGATATAGTGAATGCAGGGTCCGGGGAGAGCGGATATAGTGAATGCAGGGTCCGGGGAGAGCGGATATAGTGAATGCCGGGTCCGGGGAGAGCGGATATAGTGAATGCCGGGTCCGGGGAGAGAGCGGATATAGTGAATGCCGGGTCCGGGGAGAGCGGATATAGTGAATGCCGGGTCCGGGGAGAGCGGATATAGTGAATGCGGGTCCGGGGAGAGCGGATATAGTGAATGCGGGGTCGGGGAGAGCGGATATAGTGAATGCGGGGTCCGGGGAGAGCGGATATAGTGAATGCAGGGTCTGGGGAGAGCGGATATAGTGAATGCAGGGTCCGGGGAGAGCGGATATAGTGAATGCGGGGTCCAGGGAGAGCAGATATAGTGAATGCGGGGTCCAGGGAGAGCAGATATAGTGAATGCGGGGTCCAGGGAGAGCGGATATAGTGAATGCGGGGTCCGGGGAGAGCGGATATAGTGAATGCGGGGTCCGGGGAGAGCGGATATAGTGAATGCGGGGTCCGGGGAGAGCGGATATAGTGAATGCGGGGTCGGGGGGAGAGCGGATATAGTGAATGCGGGGTCCGGGGAGAGCGGATATAGTGAATGCGGGGTCCGGGGAGAGCGGATATAGTGAATGCGGGGTCCGGGGAGAGCGGATATAGTGAATGCGGGGTCCGGGGAGACCGGATATAGTGAATGCGGGGTCCGGGGAGAGCGGATATAGTGAATGCGGGGTCCGGGGAGACCGGATATAGTGAATGCGGGGTCCGGGGAGACCGGATATAGTGAATGCGGGGTCCGGGGGAGACCGGATATAGTGAATGCGGGGTCCGGGGAGACCGGATATAGTGAATGCGGGGTCCGGGGAGACCGGATATAGTGAATGCGGGGTCCGGGGAGAGCGGATATAGTGAATGCGGGGTCCGGGGAGAGCGGATATAGTGAATGCGGGGTCCGGGGAGAGCGGATATAGTGAATGCGGGGTCCGGGGAGAGCGGATATAGTGAATGCGGGGTCCGGGGAGAGCGGATATAGTGAATGCGGTGTCCGGGGAGACCGGATATAGTGAATGCGGGGTCCGGGGAGACCGGATATAGTGAATGCGGGGTCCGGGGAGACCAGATATAGTGAATGCCGGGTCCAGGGTTTGGTAACACTTTAAGGGTACGTACGTGTTGTACTCAAACAATGCTCGGGCGATGACCAGGCCCATCCCCTAGAACAAGACACAGAAGAAGAATTACTGACCAGGAAATACGGGAGAGCTCGGAGACAGGCAATAAGCAGCAGGCTGAGTCGGCAGGAAAGCAATACGCCATTACTTACATTCAGTGTTCCCTCGTCATCCACGATAGACAACTTCACAATGTACGGATTGACAGACTGCATGATAGGAAGACATGAAATCCGATTATTAGACATGAATTACCAGCCGCTGGAGGGGCTTAGTACCAAATGGAACCATCCTGTGAAATCTGCTTATAAAAAGCTGGTGATGTCCCTGTCAGGGCATTACACTGAAGATCAGACATAGAGAAGTTTATACAAAGAGTAACGTGTTACTGGGGGAAATCAGGATAAAGCTGACCATACATTATACAACTTTCCTTTAGATTTACCAAAACCCAGGGCCATGGATAAGGGGGTACCACCAGTCCTCCTGTACGGGGCCCAGGCCAGTGGGGGGGGGCCCAGGCAGCGAGGTGAGTCGGATGTGGGCAGGGAGGGTATTGGGTGTGACTGGGGGGCAATTACTGGAACTGATCCCCTGTATGGTCTCTCTGCAGCAGCTGCAAGCCGGCTTCTTCCCTCTCCCTCCCGCTGGCTTTCAGCTGCTGCAGGGAGAGCCATACAGGGGATCGGTTCCAGTAATTGCCCACCACCATACCCCTCACCCTTCCTGTGCACTATATGTTTTTCGGGGTGTGTTTGAATTCAGTCCTCTGTAGGTCGATCATTTCCATCAAGGGGCTTTGAATAGAGCGGACCTTCCACTGGAAAGTTGCCATCTAACTCGATCCATCTACACAAACTCTAATAGTAGCCATACAAGCTTCCATAAATGATTGCTTTCTTTTCCAATCGATCTCTTCCAATGGGAATAATTGATCTGTAGTCGACAGCCCAATCGATCAATATTCCACACATGGGAAAGTGGATTTTAAACAATGGCTAAGACAAGCAATCGTAACTTATGTAGTTCATCTCTGTGCGATCTGTGCCATATCCGGCCCTTTGGCTTTCCCTATCCGGCCCTCGATGACGTATGCCTTCATGCCTAGTATACTCATGCCGTTCCTTCATGGCTGTGTGCCGCGGCGTCATCACAGCTCGGCCAATCAAGCGGCCACAGCCCTGAACCCGGAAGGAAGACCGGGTGAAGATGGAAGCCTCTGCAGTGGTGACAACGCGCCCGTCTTCGTTTCAAGGCAAGTCCTTCATAATGGGGCTAGTATACAATGCATACTGGCACGCTATGCCTCTGCCTTGCAGGGAAACGTTTTTTTTTGAGCTCACTACCACTCTACATAGTTTTTTGCACCCGGCCGGATTCAGACATCATCCCTTTCCAAAGATCAAGACTCTAAAGCCACCCACCCGAAGATGTCAGCGGCCGGGCGCGGGAGCTGCAGGGACGCCGTATCGCTGGAGGGAAGGCAAGTATAGTTCCGCTTTAAAAGTGACAGTTCAATTAAAATGAATAAAACCTGGCTGTGTAAAGTCAATTAATAAATCGGTAATGAAAAAAGGTTTTTTGTGAGAAATGTATTTGGAAAAAAAAAGAAAAAAAAAAAAAACTCACCTCGTATTTTCTGTAGTTGACAAGAAGTGCCAGCAAAACAACAGCATCGTAGCCATGCTCCCTGCGACTCGGAGGATTGGACAGGATCTAGACCAATAACAGACACCAATTAGGTGACAGAACAGAGGCGCCTAGCATAGCCTGGGAAGGGATACCCCGCTTACTTCTAAAACCGGAACCCTGCAACTGGAGAGATACAAAGAAGGCCTCTTCCGGGAATGCTATTTGCCTGGCTGTCTCTGGCGTCAATATCCTCTATTGCAGGGCTTACAATTTCAAGTCTAGACCTACTAGCCAGGCAAAAACCTTACTCTCCACCAGATGCCCCATCAAACCTTGCCCAGGTCCGCCTCCAACCCCACCCCAGGCCTGTCCCCCAACCCTGCCCCCAACCACGCCCTCCTAAAGCTTATGAAATTACATTTTTCTGCAGTATATAGAGTGCAAAATATAAAAAAACTGCAATTATAACATAGCTTTATTAAGTCAATTTAAACATAACAGCAATAGCTTAATAGAGTCCAGAGGGCAAGTGGTTAACAAAACAATGTAAACATAACATGAAAATAAGTGTCCCCATCAGAGTCCCCCTTTACATCAGGTGTTCCCATCAGAGTCCCCCTTTACATCAGGTGTTCCCATCAGAGTCCCCCTTTACATCAGGTGTTCCCATCAGAGTCCCCCTTTAGATCAGGTGTTCCCATCAAAGTCCCCCTTTACATCAGGTGTTCCCATCAAAGTCCCCCTTTACATCAGGTGTTCCCATCAGAGTCCCCCTTTACATCAGGTGTTCCCATCAAAGTCCCCCTTTACATCAGGTGTTCCCATCAAAGTCCCCCTTTACATCAGGTGTTCCCATCAAAGTCCCCCTTTACATCAGGTGTTCCCATCAAAGTCCCCCTTTACATCAGGTGTTCCCATCACAGTCCCCCTTTATATAAGGTGTTCCCATCAGAGTCCCCCTTTACACCAGATGTCCCCATCAGAGTCCCCCTTTACACCAGATGTCCCCATCAGAGTCCCCCTTTACACCAGATGTCCCCATCAGAGTCCCCCTTTATATAAAGGTGTTCCCATCAGAGTCCCCCTTTATATAAGGTGTTCCCATCAGAGTCCCCCTTTATATAAGGTGTTCCCATCAGAGTCCCCCTTTATATAAGGTGTTCCCATCAGAGCCCCCCTTTACATCAGGTGTTCCCATCAAAGTCCCCCTTTACATCAGGTGTTCCCATCAGAGCCCCCCTTTACATCAGGTGTTCCCATCAGAGCCCCCCTTTACATCAGGTTTCCCCATCAGTGTAACCTCACCCTACTCATAGATCTTTTTGTGAATGCAGCTTCTCCTTCTTTCCCTCCTTCGGTCATGTGATAAGTCACATGACAAGAGAGGAAGGACACTGTCATTACTCCTTGTGCCGGCTGTCTATTGCCCCCTGCAGGCAGGAGGGAGGAGAAAGTTTAGTCCTCCCTCCAGCAAGTGTCAGCAGCTGCTCCCTGTGACAGGAGTGAAACTGCGGTCACTGAGGAGCGGCACCAGCAGTGCGCCCCCCCCCCCCTCAACACAGTGCTCGGGGCAGGTTGGTGCTGCTGGCCGCCCCCCACCCTCCGACACAGCGCCTGTGACACACTCACCCCCATGTTATTTTCACTCGACAAATGCGAGCAGGCAAGTGGAAATTTCAAGCCCTGCTCTATTGCACTGTTCACACATAAATGTCAGCTCTCTTCATTATGAGCATCCAATCCATGAGCTCCTATCAACGTGATGCTGAAGATTTGTAAAGATCAAGGGAGAAGTGCTCCCTTTGTACAGCTTAACCAGGTCTTGCCTCCCTTTGTTTTGCAGAATTCCCTAATGTCTCTCCATGGTTCCTTGTGACATGTTTTGTATGTTATTTCCCCTTTGCAACTTGTTCCTCTTTATCCTTCTTTTGTTATGTACTTGTATTTGAAATGCCCTATGCTTGTTTTTTGGAACTGGAAAATTCAATAAAATGTTTGAACCATGAAGATTAATAAGGATCAGAACATCACAAAAAAAAAAAAAACGGTTCAGGAAAGTCAGCATAAAGTCTGAACGGATGATCTTGTTTCAGGTCAGCGACTCAAAATCCAGTAGATAAGCAGGACAGTCGCACAATTTCCATTTTTTTTATCTACCGTATTTGCCGGCGTATAAGACGACTTTTTGATCCCTGAAAATCTTCTCAAAAGTCGGGGGTCGTCTTATACGCCGGTATATACGGCATACTGACACTTTTCAGGGGGGCGGCGCCTTGCCGCCGCCCGCCCCCCCCCTTCCAACGGAAGGGACACTAAGTACAGGGGTGGGCAGGGGCTGGTGTTTCTTACCTGGCTCCGGTCCCACGACGATCCGGTCCAGTAAGCGGCTGCTCCTTCAGTTCGGCCCCTGGATGTTCGTGCGGCTGCTCGGCTCCGCCTCCTCACCGGTGATTGGCCGCCAGATCTGTAGCTCCGGAAAGGCACACAGGCGGCCAATCACCGGCGAGGGGGCGGAGACGAGCGGCCCCGCGAAAATCGAGTGCAGGAGCAGCAAGTAAGTGTGCCGTGTAGAGGTGCTGCTGCAAACACATATGCTGGCTGCAGCAGCACCATACTAGAACAGGGTCAGCAAGTGTAATTGGTGTCAGTGGGAGGAATAGTGCCCCATCATTGGTGTCACTGATACCAATGATGGAGCACTATTCCTCCTACTGACACCAACGATGGGGCACTATTCCTCCCCCCACTGATACCAATGATGGGGCCCTATTCCACTCCCCACTGACACCAATGATGGGACAACCATTCCTATTGCACCCCCACTGACACCAATGATGGGACACCATTCCTCCCACTGACACCAATGTTGGGCACTATTCCTGCCACTGATACCAATGATGAGGCACTATTCCCCCACTGACACCAAATTTGATGGCGGCACTATTCCTCCCACTGACACCCAATGATGGGGTACACACATTCCTACCCACTGACACACTGATGGGTCACTCCCACTGAACCAATGAATGGGAGAATCCTCCTATGATGGGGCACCAATTGGAGCCTATTCACCTACTGACACCAACGATGGGTCACTATTCCCCCCCACTGATTACCAATGATGGGCACTATTCCTCCACTGACCCATGATGGGGCACTATTGCCCCCCCACTGACAACCTATGATGGGGCACCTATCACTCCCACTGAACACCAATGATGGGGCCTATTTGCACCAAATGATCAGTGCCCCCCACTGACACCCAATGATGGAGCACTCCATTACCTTCCTGAAAGGAGCACTATTCCTCCACTGACACCCGAACGAAGGTGGGCACTATTCCTACCCTCCCCACTGATGATGATGGGAAGCACTATTCGCCTCCTTACTGACAACCACGGTGGGGCATACTATTCCCCCCCCACTGACACAATGATGGGGCCCTATTTCTCCACTCCCACTGACACCAATGATTGGGGCCCTAATTGCACCCCCCAGCTGACATCCAATGATGGGGACACCCATTCCTCCCACTGATCACCAATGTGGGGACAACTATTCCTCCCACTGACACCAATGCGATGGGGCACTAATTCCTGCCACTGGATACCATGATGAGGCCCACTATTCCCCCCACTGATACCAATGATGAGGGCACTATATTCCTCCTACTGACACCAATGATGGGGCACTATTCTCTCCCACTGACACCAATGATGGCAATCCATACCTCCCGACTTAGACACCAAAGATTCCATCCTCCCCACTGACACCAATGATGGGGGACTATTCCACCCACTATGAGTTGGGCACCTCCCACTGACACCAATTGATGGGGCCACCATTACACTCCCACTGATCCAATGATGGAGGCACTATTCCATGTCCCACGGATACCAATGTTGGGGCTGACTATTCCTCCACTGACACCAATGATGGGGCACCTGATTTTTTTTCCTCCCATGATACCAATGATGGGTGCACCTATTCCCCCCAGCTTGATACAATGACTGGGGCACTATGCCTGCCACATGATACCAATGATGGGGCCACTATTCCTCCACTGTCACCAATGATGGCAGGCACTGATTTTCACACAATGACACCCAATGATGGGGCACTATTCACTGTAACACAATGATGGGGCACTATTCCTCCCACTGACACCAAATGATGGGCACATCGTATTCCTCCCACTGACGACAATGATGGGGCACTATTCCTGCCGCACTGACACCAATGATGGGGCACAAATTCCCTGCCCACATGACACCAATGCATGGGGCACTATTCCTCCCACATGATACCAGATGATGGGGCACTATTCCCCCACTGATACCAATGATTGGACCTGTAGGGGCACTATTCCTGCGCCACTGATCTACCAATGATGGGGCCACTATTCCTGCCACTGATCACCAATGATGGGAGCAACTATTCCTGCCCACGTGATCCAATGATGGGGCACTATTCCCCTGCCACTGATACCAATGATTGGGCACTTATTCCTGCCCACTGTACCAATGATGGGGCACATATTCCACATGATGGGGCACTCCACTGCACTGATACAATGATGGGGGCACTATTCATTCCACTGATACATATTGATGGGGCTCTTTCCTCATACCAGATGACTACCAATGATGGCGGGGCAACTCATTCCTCGCCAATGTCACATTGATGGGGCACTATGTCCTACCTCCCACTGACCACCAATGATGGGGCAGCACTTATTCATCCCCACTGATTACCCAATGATGGGGCACTCTTCCGCCACTGAACAAAACATATGATGGGGCACTATATTCCTCCACTGACACCAATGATGGGGCAGTAATTACCCTACCACTTGATACCAATGATGGGGCACTATTCTTCCCCACTGATTACACCAATGATGGGCTACTATTCCTCCCAACTGACACCAATGATGGTGGCACTATTCCTCCCACTGACAACCAATGATGGGGCACTATTCCTCCACTGTACCACCAATGATGGGGAACTATTCCTCCCACTGACACCAATGATGGGGCAATATTCCTCCCACTGATACCAATGATGGGGCACTATTCTCCCACTGATACCAATGATGGGACGCTATTGCCTCCCTGTTATGCGAGCGTCTCCCACTGCGCGACCAAGTGATGTGGCACTAATCCTCCACTGACACCGGAATGATGTGGGGCACACTTATTTCCCTCCCACTGACACCGAATGAAGAGTAGGGCACTAATCCGTCACGTCACTAGAATACCAATGATGGGGCACTATTCCTCCCACTGATACTGACACCAATGATTACTGGGGACACTATTCCGTGTCGAAGCCACTGACCACCAATGGATGGGGCAACTATTTCCACTGACACCAATGCGTGGGTGGCACTAATCCACCCATGACACCAGATGATGGGCACTATTCCTCTGACACCGAAAATGAGATGCGGCACTATATCCTCCCCACCGACACCAATGATGGGGCACTATTCCTCCCTGACACCTGATACCAATGATACAATGGGGACGCTATTCCTCCCACTGTAAAGCCAAATGTTGGGACGCTATTCTCCCACTGATCACCAATGATGGGCGGCACTTATTCGCTCCCACTTGACACCAATGATGGGGCACTATTCCTCCTACTGACACTGTGGGCACATTCCTCCACTGGCCCAATGATGGGGCACTATTCCATCCCACTAATAAACCAAATGATTGGGGCACTATTCCTCCACTGATACGCAATGATGGGGGACTATTCCTCCCACTGTTACCATTTGATGGGGCACTATTCCACCCACTGACCACCAATGATGCGGGCACTACTTCGCTCCGACACTGACCACCAATGATGGGGCCACTAATTCCTACCCACTGACGTACCATATGATGGGGCAACTAATTCCTCCCACTGACACCAATGATAGGGGCACTATCCTACCAACTGACACCAATTATGGCGGCTCACCTATTCCTCCGACTGGATAGGTGTGCATTGGAAGAGGGGTATAGTCTTATACGGCGAGTATAGCCCAAACACTACATTTTTTAACAGAGAAAGTAGAGGGTCGTCTTATACGCCGGCAAA